ACCCTGGGAGGCAACACCAGCCACCTGGCAGAAACATATAAAAAGGGAGTAAGATGAAGGTAATGAAATAGAAAATATACTTTCCCTTCTTAAAGATGGTGTATAGACTGAAGAACAGCAATTGGAGAGAGTCAAAATTCCACAGAAGATAAAACAACCAGAAGATAAAGATAACAGGAGACAAATGTGTGTGAAGTGATCTACATGGCTACTGGAAGGATCTTGTCCAAGGGCTAGTGAAAGTGAGATGCAAGAGACATGTGATCAATCTGATGTGATGAAATGTGAAAGAACCTGTGAGTAAAGGAATTAGCTAACCCATCCTGTAAAGGTAGAAGGCAAGAGGTCCCAAGGCAGAAACAAACAATGCCGAGAACCCCAAAAGGGAAATGTACATACCAAGTAACACAAAACATCCCAAACCAGACACAGCAGTCAACCAAGATCCAAGTGAGAAATTCAAAGGGAGGGAGGTAGGAGATAAAGAATGATCACCTTCCCTAGCAGCTGAAATCAAGGAGAAAGGCCCAGTTAGTGTAGAAGTAAGTATGGTGAAAGTGTGTGTGGAAAGCATTGATGGCACAAAATCTGAATGACCACAAGCAAGAAGGAAAAGGAAATATGTCTTCAAAGAAAGATGGCATAAGGGACAAGAATCCAACGGCTTGAATGGAATACATGTAAAAATGTGCAAAACTACATTAAAGTCCCAGTCAAACATGAGAAGTCAGTGAAGAAGGAAGGATATTAACAAAGTGGAGAGGATAGAGAATAAAAAACCTGGCAGTAGCAAGAAAGGCAAAATACAGTTTATAAAGCCATCCAATAAACAGCAATGGTGGAAATTGACAATCTATGGTTTAACACTCATGTGAAAAAGGCTGAAAAGTAGGCCACAGTAAGATGGCCAGAGAAAGGCAGTGGTGGGTGGACCAATATAAAAAACTCTCCATTTCCATTGAAAGATGACCGGAACAGTATAAGAAAAATGCTATACAGTCAGAGAGGCTAGCACCGCAGACAATGTACTGGAGAAATCTCACACATGGAAATGAAGGGACAACACTCCTGGGTAAAAGGGGGATGTGTGGATCAAGCAAGAGAGAGTGGGAACAGGTTAGAGGAAAATGGGTCCCAGTTACTAACTGATGAAGCAGAGGAAATGAGAGTTATGTAGTTGAAAGATGTACCATCAACAAGAACTGACAGGGAATGTCACATATCAAAGCAAAGATATAATGGAGAAAACAAAGAGGAAGGTAGGCATACAGAAAAAAAGTAAGACCAGTCCTAACTAAGGGAATTGAAGAATGGAAAAATTAAAATGATTGTAAGCCAGGACAAAAGAGTCAAGTAGATGAGGTGGATGAGACATGTTAGTACAGGTGCAGAGTTTTTTGAGAAACGAGTCTGCAGGAACCCTAATGTCAGGCAAAGGAAGAAAGACAAAGTAATCTTGAGTATGGGTTCCATGTAGTAAAGCACAAGAAGAATCAAAAGACACAGGGACAAGAGAAAGAAAAAACATACCTACAATATCATGTCAAGGAAGAATTTATAAGGGTGAGGATATCCTCCACAGATAAAGCTGTGCCTAGAGCAAATCCTGGTGTGGGAAATAGCCAGTCAAAATCAGTATCCTGACCGTGTTAAAACTGGGGAGAAGAAATGTCAACCAAATAATAGATAGGAGGAGGCACAGTAAGCATGAAGAAACCCACATGTTGAACAATGGTTGTCATGCCCTCCACAGACAACGAGCCCTCAGCAGCCTAGGTAGATGCAGGTCCCACATTAGTAACATTGTCTTTATCATGGGATGAGGTGGAAGTCACTTGAGAATTCATAATGGTAGGAAATCAATAAATGCTGTTGTTGTTTCTAAATGAAATTAAAGAAACCATACTACTCAGGAAGATACCTCACCTGTGAGATTTGCACATGTTTAACTTGAATTGCACTAGTGCATGATGTGACGATAGCCTTCCCCCAATAGTTCGGCAACAAAGCCTCCTTGTGCAGTAGCTCCACCTACCCCTAAACACTTGCACTTCAATTAACTTCATTCTTTTCCTTGGCGTTGTCTAGAACAGATGTCTTCCACAATTGTTAATCAATTACTTGAGATTTATGAGAGTTTACAACTGTGTTAAATTTTGTTGAAGTTTACCTGGTTTAGTGATAATGTTTCGCATGACTTAGTTTTGTAATTATAATTAGAATATAAATGATATAAAAAGCAAGTGCAATGTGAAGCTTCTGTAACAATTTTGTTTAGCAATGTGCTTCACAAAAATAATTTAAGGTAAAGGACCTAACATAGGGAAATCACATGTGTGGCATGTTGTGGTTGTAGATAATTTATTTTTAATTACAGCGACACAACAGTTATTAAAAAGAACCTTACAAAAATATTCTACTTTAATTCAACTAACCTAAGATTGGCATTATCTGAAACGTTTTTACTGGAGAGAGCATTTGTGGGATTAGTAAAAGCAAAGACTTACCGGCTGCATGAAAATGTTCTGAGTTCAAGACTAGTATGAAGTATAATCTATAGTTTAGTGATAGAATGGAAGATATTACTGTGTGTGAGTCCTTGTATCACATTTTTATACATACTGCCATGTTAAAAATATCCAGAAATTCTTTGAACATATTAATCTCCAAAACTAATAAAAACAATATATATATATATATATATATATAATACCAAAATATTAAACATATAGCAAACAAAATATTAGCTCTTTCTTCAGAGTAATGTAAAAGTAGACACAGTGCTGTTTGTATTCAAAGTGACATTACTCATCGGTATTCTTATCACTATTTCAAGACATACTCATAAAACCTTTAATATATTCATTAAGTATAATTAGGTTTGCCCTTGAAGCTAAATCATCTGACAACAGACACTGTAATGTCTTAATACATGAAAAGAAACTATTATTTCAGGTGAGGCACATATAACAAAAATTGAGCTCTTTTGATGAAGATGTCTAAAAGAATGTTAACTACTCAGTACCTGATTTTGTGTAAAGATATGACAAAATTCTCACTGAATAAAAACCAGAGTGATAGACCACCAGGTATTGAAAAAATAATGACCAAACTCCCTTGGCCTGGATTTTGCGACATGCATTCTATTCCTTTTCAGACTTCCACTGCAAGAATAATAAAAACTTCATTTGAAAGAAAAGCTGATGGAAGCCCAAAATTAGAATGAAGTTCACAAGGTTTCTTGCTTTGTAGCTTCATGATTAATCCTTTCAAAAGAAGAGTAAGAATGGCTGTTTGATATAATTTTTTCATTTTTCCTTGTTTATTGTAATATTTTTCTATTCGTTTGGTTTAAACAATGTCCCATGTACAGTTTGTGTTAATACATATTTTGATATTTTTATTCAGACACCTTCATCAATTAAGCTTACTAAAGAGACTGCTTTTGTTCATTGTTTTATGCAGCAACATTTCAAGTTTAGTATGGTTGAATAAACTTCCTTGGTGTATCTTGTTCATAGTTTAAAGCTGGTTCATCTCTATATACAAAAGAAGTTGTGTATATTTTATGTAAATGTTGTAAGAGCTGAAGGATTAGTTCCTAAATGAAGCAAGAGCTAAAACAAACAATACCATCTGTTGTTGTTTTTTTTTGGAAATAAAAATTTCTACTCTCAAGCTCATTTGTGAAGTGTGAAAAATAATCTACACAAAAACTGATAAATCAAATTATTTATTCCATTTAACAGATATTTTCAAAATAACTTTTGTGTAACATCAATAATCTTGTCTTCTATACTTTCCTTAAAAATAATTTAGTCCAAAAAAATCTGATTCTCCCCAAAATCCTACAGTCTCACAAAGTCACAATTAAATATTGTGAATTTACTAACAAAACAAAAATATGTAGAAATTTTAAATTGCTTTTTAAAAAAAAATAAGCATGTACACAAATAGATGGTCTAGTGTTTCTGTATTAGTTCAAGTACCAAAATAGTATATATCATAAAAGAATATGAAAAATTTGTTCATAAACTTTGTGCTTACAAATAAATATTATTCTAATTAAGTGTTGATAAATGTCATATTTTTACATTACTATTTCAAAAACTGTAGATTTGGGTTACTTTCATAACTTGAAAATAGACTTGTTGTTGTGTAGAATGTTATCAAATTTAAATACAAGATGTATTTCATTCAATAAGTATATGTAAAAAAGTGTTCTAATCTAAAAAAAAGTTACTCTGATACAAAAGCAGCCACATAAAAATAAAAACAACTCAGCCCTACCCTCAGGTTTTTAGTTTTTCCAAACTTTTAAAAATCTGTTTCTAGACAGAGAAGTCGCATTTAATTCTGTGTAAATGAATGTATTTTTTTTAAAGGGTGATGGGAGACCTCAAAAGCCCAACTGGTCTTCTGGAATTAATTTCCTATTGTTTCATATTTCCTTTCTTATTTCTACACAGAAAGTATTTTTTCTTTACTCCACAAATATATGAAAGTTAATTAAAAAATAATAATACGTGGACTTAATATACATTGTAACAAATTAGTAAATTTCCAGTGGTTTGTTCCCAGGATAATGTGATTTCCACAAATTATCACAAGGTTGGAATTTGGGCATTGGTAACATTATTCACACTTAGGATGAAGATTATATCATATATACATAACTGTATGAAATGTTCAAGATTCTGTCCTTATATCAATCTCTTTGGATAAAATGTACATGTAATTAAACAAACCCATTCATTTTTCATCACTCTACTGCTAATGAATCCAATACACGGCAATATATGACCATTCACTCAAAGATTCAAGCCCAATATTTTCACAGCATCAAATGAACTTAGTGTTCCTTCAGCTATCAACTATTACAATATCTTGATTGTACAACACAAACATATTTCATTTATATCTATTGCTTATCACTATCATCAAAAATCAATCATCTTAAGTATAATTGTACTACAAGTTTTGATACAAGGATTTCTCACCTGAATTCATCATATGATGCAACTCTCTGATTGACTGCTCTAAATTTGGCGTCATTTTCTCGCCAATATCTAGCATCAGCTTCTACTGCTGCATGCAATTCTGCTTCTAACTGGTTGAAGTCAATTGAATCATCATCTACAGCTGCCATGGTTTCAAAAACCCTGTGTTTTCATCTATTATCATACAAAAATGTAATAACATTAAAATTTATGTTTTGAAAAAAAACTTTGGGCATCTATATTTTCATATTTTATTTGGTGAACTGGAGGCGATTAGATTCAGGCTTTTAGTTGTTAAATTAAGCTATGAGAATAGCCTTAAAGTTTTAACCTTATTTTGTAGCATTGGTAAACTGGAGATGATTTGATTCAAGTTTTTAATTGTGAAAAATTAAGCTATAAGAATAGCCTTAATGTTTTACTCTTATTTTTATAGTCTTGGTGAACTGGAAATTATTTGATTCAGGCTTTTAGTTGTTAAATTAAGCTATGAGAATAGCCTTAAAGTGTTACCCTCACTTTTACAGCATTGGTAAACTGGAGATGATTTGATTCTGGTTTTTAATTGTTATACATGCTTGGTAATCTGCTTGTTGATGGTCTGTTTGACCAATGTAAATGTGAAATTGAATATTATGGATATAGTAATAAGCTTAAGCTTTGGAATCCCTGTTGAAGACTTGTTTTATGTCAGAGTTAAAGCTAGTGGACTGGTTTATCTGATAATGTATGTACAGTTAGTGAATACTCAGCTAAATACATGTGTGTTAACCAACTTAAAAGTATTATAGGATTAACTGTTGGCTTCACAGAGTGCAAGCCTAAAAGTTTGTGAACTTTTGTTTGCGAGTCTGTGTTTATTCTATTTTTAAATTTACCAAAAGATATGTTCTATTTCACTGTATTACATTTTGGAGAGTTCTCTTTCATTACTATAGCTCATTTTTTACAGATGACAGTGTTATTATCTATTGGCTTGAATTGTGGAGATAACTTAAATTTCCATTTTAGAGTAATGCTGTCCCTTTTGATTCTAATCACATAGCAGTCTCATTGTACAAATAATCTTTTTCAAAAATGGATGTGTAAAATACCTCCAGTCTTAAGCCTCCCTTTACAGCTTTATTTTGTTGAAAACCTTTACTACTGCCAATGGCAATCCATTCCATAAGCTAATTAACTTGTTAGAAAAATTAAACTTTCTTAACTGGAGCCTGCAGTAGCTCAGCAGTAAGTCTGAAGGCTTATAATACTAAAAACTGGGTTTTGAAACCCATTGTGAGAACAGCACATATAGCCCAATGTGTAGCTTTGTGCTTAACAACAAACAAACCTAACTGAAGCAGAGCCTGTATTTTCCAAATCTTAAACTTGTATCCTCTAGTCCTGTTGCCTTCAAGATACAGCCCAAAGAAATTGGAGACTTTAACTCTATTGATCCCCTGAATAATATTTCAAACTTCAATACATTAATCTCTTAACCTTTTTCCTCAAGAGCAACTAAGCTAAGAGATCTTAACCTATCCTTATAAGACAATTCTTCCATTTCCAGATATATATGAACCCTCTTCCAACAAGTCAGTATTCTTTCTCTCTCTCAGATGAGGAGACAAAACTGTAAACATTAACAGAGAGACTGAATAGGCTATCTGTAGTATGTCTGCTATGTGTATGGATCTCCTTATTTTTATCTTACCTCTGAGCCTACTGGGGGAGGGGGGAGAGGCAACTGAGGTTTAGCCACTGATTTGTATAACTGGACATTTGTATAATTGAACATCAGACATTTATACTAAAGTTCAAGCATTATACAAAGCCAAAATGGTAAATTGAAATGACAAGGACTAAATCACCAAGCTGCAATGAAAATAAACAGTATTATTTTTATTAAAATTCATTAAAAACCCTTAACTTCAGAGATCTCTCTTTCATGGCATGAAAATTATGAAAATAAAAATTTAAATCTTCATTAATAATCCAGTTGCTTCATAACTTTCATTTTTCACAATATTAGTTTACAAGTTTTCTGCAAGTTTTGCAAACTAGTCTCTTAAGTGCTACACTTATAATTGTTCATGTTCATTGTAGTTAAAACATTTTAACCTAATAAAATTAACTAATAAGCTTATCGACTGTATTGTATTCTCTGTGACTGTGAGTGTAATTTTTTAATCAAGCCACTGAAGCACTATTAAATATCAAATGTGTTTACTTGTTGTTTTTCCAAACTTATTAATCAAACAGTGCAATTAAACTGAAATTTTCTGGGTATACCCAAGAGATTTCTGAAGACATGTGCAATAATAAAAAAAAATATATTTTATTTTTCACTTATTTGGAAAACAGTACCGTTGTTTTCGAACAACAGGGACTTTGTAAATCCAACTTTGAGGAAAAAAGTAAAACATACCCTTTTTTCCGGAAACAACTGATTCTCCTTTTAAACTCTTCTGAAGTATCACCCTCTACGAATTGCATAAGCCAATCACCATAGAACTATTTTAACTGAAGCCTACCCTTTTCTTTTTCCAAATCTTAAAAAGTTAAAGTTGTGTTCTCTCATCCTGTTGTGTTCAGAATATAGCACAACGAAATGAATATTTTATCCTTTGAACCACGATTCTTTTATTAACATATCGAGTTAGAGTTAGGATAACTATCCCCTCCCAGTAATCGTTCTACTAGTAGAAACCTTTCCCACAAGTAATTATCCTTTCTTAAGAAGACCTATATTGTAAGTAGTTGAGTCCTTTTTTCTAAAAAAAAAAGAAAGAGAAAATATCATTACCTAGTTTACCATTAACAATTCAATTTCTCAGTAAATCAATCATAAACGATAAAGCTTTTTCCTGAACCTAAACATTAACAACAGCCATCTAGTGTAATATGTATACACTAATTTATAAATTATTAATTATTTTTCTCGAATTATCTTGAACTTGGGGTATTTTTTTATATTTTAGTCAGGAATGGACATAGAACATTGGATGTCATTCAGAAATAAATTAGAAATCGATGGTCAATAACCTTCCATCAACTCTTAACAACTTTTATATTTATTTTCAAATATCTTAATATCATTTCATAAGAAATAAGATTTCGAAGAGAAATATCTTCTTAATCACAAACAAGTGACATTTTCTCCATCTCTTAATGAAGAAGAGCCAGCATTCGAAAACACTCGAGCTGAAAGTTATTTTAAAATGTTTATAATAACTTTTTAGAGATCTACGGTACTCTCTTATTTCAAAGTACATTTTATGAATGTAGATCTACCTAATCTCAGTGAACCTTTCATATGTTGTTTGTTTGTCTGTAGGTATGCACAAAGCTACACAATGGGCTATCTGTGCTCTGCCCACCACGGGTATCGAACCGCTGTGCCACTGGGGGCTCATATGTTGTTTTCAGATACTTGAATATGTCACATTTCAAGTATCTGTTGCCAAGACACTGGTTTGACTGAAACTCGACTGTCTAAACAATCGCGTAAAACTAAATCGCATTCCATTCTCATATATACAATCCAGAATCGTATTTTGATGCTATTTCTTTCTTCTTCTTTTATCGAAATAACCCTTCCATCCCTGGAATCACCCTTGTACTAATAGTAGCAGCAGCCTTGCTATTAAAAATAGCGGTAGTCTAAATCAAATTATATTATTTTTTCCCCTCCTTTTTAATATGAATTAATATTTTGTGTATATTAAGATCTTAATCGGCCCTAACCTGAAGACAGAATTCAGTAGTATAGATTTTCTTAGACTTAACTTTTCCCATATTGGAGAGCAGATATATGTATATATGCGAAGTAGTATACATATGTATTATTGTATTTACTCTTATAGTGACACGCTTCAAGTTATCATGTAAGAGAAATAAGTGTTAGAAAGTAAAGAAAACTGTTTAGAATAACAAGAAATACAGCTGTTTCTAACAGAATGTTGTATAAGAGCTTTCACACGATAGGCGACAAAAAAGTGTTGAACTTCTGAACTTAGGAAGCTTGTTTGGTTGTTCTTAAGCACAAAGTTACATAATCAGTATGGAAATCCGATTTTGAGAGTTATAAGCTCTCAGACTTACCATTGAACTACCAGGGTGGAGGCCTCAGGAAGCTTACTAAAAAACGAAACTCAAAATGAAAGCAATGTCATGATTTATAAATGAGCTAAAAGATGTTGTTGTTGGTTTTTTAACTCAAAGCTACACAGTGAGCACTCTGTGCTTTGTCCACCGCGGGGAATTGAGCCCCGGATTTTAGCATTGTAAGTCTGGAAACTTACCGCTAATCTAGCAGGCGACATGGTAAAAAAAAAGCGCGGAAATATTGTTGCACTGTAGTAATTCTTTTTATTGTAGGACAATACCTCTCTGGCAAATAAAAATCGTGTTCAATTATCGATAAAACCATCTTTAAGACTTTTTCTCGAGTTCTAATATAAAGATAGGTTTCTGAAAAGTTATCTTAAATAACAAAGTTAGAAAAGTCATTAAACATTTTTTTTTCAAAATAAAATTGTTTTGTTTACTTGTATATAAAACCTATTTTTAAATTAATTCTAATAGAACTTGATGGCCCTTAAAGAAACTAAGATTATTTTCAGCTTGTAAAATATATAAATTATTAATTTTGATTTTTTTTCTTAATTTCTTATGTAAAATTGGCTCTTTCAATTAAAATATTTTCCCCGCACACACAAATTATTTCACATTAACGATTTAATCTATAATATAATCTATAGTGACAAAGCTAATGTGAATACTAATACTTAATATATATTAATAAGATGTATTTGTTTATTTTGCTGTTAATAACAAAGCTATACAACAGTTAGATATTCTCTGCCCACCGCAGGGATTTAAACCCAATTTTTACCGTTATGAACCCTCATAAATTCCGCTGAGCTACTTACTGGGAGGCATTAAAGTACATAAACCATTATTTGACAAAATTCTCTCTATGTATGTATGTGTGTATGTGCACTGTGTCCGCTTATAACTGGTGAATCGTGAACCGATTGTCATCAAACCCGGAATGTACTTTTAGGGTCCCCCGGGAGTCATACAAGATGTCGGCTTTTGAATTTGACCCCACTATGTCATTCTCCGTGCGTTGAACGGGCACATTAAGTTTTATATAGATATATATAGCATTCTACAGTATTCTCCCCTGGAGGACAGAACCCAGATAGCCTACTATGTAGCCCTTTGCTAGAACAGGCAGAAAAAAAATCCAGTACATAATATAAAATTTTGTTTTTATGGGAACATTGTGTATCTGTATATATGCAATAAAATAATGTAACAGCTTCAGCTTCTAAGCTATATTTACATAATTTACTAAATTCAAAGCTTTGACATCACCCCACATAAAGGCAATGAATATGTATCTGATTACTGAGTAAAATATCATTAATTGGCTGAAATTATCTCAAAATTTTCAATGTTTCCCAAAGCGAAATAAGGGTTAAAATAGATTTATATAATACCCAGAAAGCTTGACGTTGTATTTAGAAAAGGTTATGCGTGTATAGGCGCTCATTTTGAGCTGATAGACTAGAGGGAAGAATACTCTTTAGATACTGGTGTCTGATGACCGAATAGTGGAATTTTACCGTCACTTTTCTGGCGCATTCACGACTCGAAAGTGCGTATAAAATTTTTGCAGCAACTGTATTCGAACAAGAACCCTCGGATTCACAGTCCGGACACACTAAACCACTGAGCTACGCCTAGGAAGGAATGAAAAGGTAATTATACTGCAAATAAAAGCAAGTATTTAGGAGAACACAAACAAATCTTCCAATAAGGTGGATGGAATTCCAGTGCTATGTGTTTATTTAAAAACGAATGCCAGTATTTAGGACAGGTATTGCATACATTTCTGATATTTAATATAAAACTCCAGTTCTAAGGTGCTTAGTGAGGAAATTCACTGAGACAATTTTCAACAAAAGCTTCTATAGATTGCAAACAATTTCTATTCTCATTCGTGGTAAGCTTTTTTGGCTTATACAATAATAATGAAAACTTCGAGTATAGTCCCATCAAAGTAGTTATTATATGCAATTTACTAGAAAAAATCCAAAGATATATCATATCGTATCGTATCGATTAGTTGATTCGAATTACCCGGACTTTGGTGGCAAGTATGTTATGATCTGTTGCTGTGAAAAACGACATAAACAATAGGGTTGTCCATATCTTCATTAGGTGTACCATATGTATGGTGTACGTACTTGATTTTTATATCGAATATTAATACTTTTAATTATTTAATCCAGTGTGTAAAAACAATAAGTAGTATAACAATGGATTATTTTAATCCTATAACTATCCTAGATCCTACCCAAAGCATTCAACCAGTCATTGAAAGTGTGAGAAAAGGAATAGTGAAACTACAAAGGTTAAGCACTTTTTATTAAAACGATTTTGGAACCTTACCACATCGTTACTGTCTATGTCGTCACGTCCAGTTACGCTCTATTTGACGACAACAGTCCTTGAGCATAGCTTCCATTGCAAAAAGATCCGTTTTATGGCCGGCATGTTCAGAACATACATCTCCTGCCTGCAGCTTTCCATAATCCTCCCAGTATACGAGAACGACGGTTTCACCAGTATGATAGCAAAGATATCCATAAGCCCCGTGTCCGTCAACTTGACCGATATGTTTGTTTTTGGAATAGCATTAATATCTACTCCATTTTCCAGCTGCTTGAATTGATATGTCATGGAAGCAGTTTGTTTACTCGTGATTTTTGTCACTATTCCAGACGGGGATACTTCTTAATTATTTTACGTACTGTCAGAGACAGTGCTAACCCATTGGAAGCCTTAAGAAGGAATATTCTTGGACCCCTTCACCTAACCCTTAAAAAATACTAATTGCAATATTTCCTCAAATCAAAATTACGCCAGCAAAAATCATATTAATACACTTCTCAAAAAGTCATCTCTACTTACATACAAACAACACTGCCCCAGTATCTTTCTTAAATCATGCAGACTGTGTGTGTACAGGACTTAGCAGCCAATCAGTGCACGCGCACCGTACGCGTACTTTACTGAGAAGTGTCTTGCTAATTGTTGATGAAAGTTTTAAATGCTCATCCGTTACTGAGTGATGAATTTTTCATTGGAAACACCTTTTATTTTCAAATGAGTACAATACTAAGAAAAAAAAAAGGACCTGTAAATCGGAGGTCACTCAGGGCTTTGAGTAATTACTTTGTCTGCTAATGTCTTGTGCTGCTACAGTCTGTGTCACATGGACAGTTTTTGTTGCAGACCTTTATGTTAGCAGATTCTCACCTGTTACAAGATGTTATATTTTGTTTACTATAGCTGTGGTACGACTTGTTGTAGGTCTCTTTCTGGATGGTCCTAATATCCAACTTGATCCACATGCTTTTGTTTTACAAAGCCATTAAATATAATGTCTTGGAAATACTAAATTCCCGATCTCTGCATATCTTTATTATCTGAGTGTACGAATATTCTGTACGAGTATTTGAATGCAATGTTTTATGATCTGAATATACGAATATACTGCGTCTTTCGTAATATTTAGTTAAAATAATTATTTTATAAATTTATACCAGGGTTTTAATATGTACATTTGTTTAAAAGATTTTACGTAAGATACGATGATGATCTTGGTCACATTAATCAGAAATTATAACAGTATTATTGATATTTGAATACAATGTTTTTACCAAGTTGTTCATTTGGTTCTAACACAACCCTCATTTTTATACTTTCGAGAATATTTATATTTATCATAAAACTAAAAGGTTATATTTTTTAGTAAATGTTATATATATATATATATTATTTTTTTTCATGGTAAAGTTAAA